TATTCACGGCTGGGATTTTTATTTTTTCTGCTATGTAAATGGAAATGTCCAAAAATTTTGAAAAAAAGTGTTTTTTTTTATAAAATTTTGCAAATAAATAATATTTCATCATAAATCTTTGCCAAAATTTTTTCCGTTATCTTTTTAGTAAAAAAAAATATCCAAATTAGTTTATAACAAAAATTATAATTTTTAAACATTTTTTTTACATTTTTATTTTATTTTTTTATATTATTATTTTTTATTTATTTATTTATTTTTTTACATACTGTCACCCTAGCAGTACAGTGTCACCATGGTGACACTGTACTACTTGTGGGGGGTGATGAAGATTTTTTTTTTTTTTTTTTTACACATTGCTTTTACACCCATATAGGATGTAAAAGCAATCATTTCTCTTTCTCTCTGTGTGCATTCATGCACTCATTGAGAAGTACTGACTGAGCTGTGATTGGTCACAACTTGTCACATGGTACAAGGCTGTTGTGAATAGCCTTGTACCATGTGACCTCTGTGATCATTCACAGATTTCACACGTAGTAAGCAATGATGTCACAAGTGACATCTTGCTTACTACTTTGCATGTGATCACTGATTGGCCAATCAGTGATCACATGATCGGGACCTCGTACAGAGGTCCCGTCCGACGATCGGTGTTTCACTGTGTCCGGAGGACACAGCGGGAACCGGATCGCGGTGCTGCGCGCTCCCAGGGAGCGCGCACAAGCAGGGTGCGGGGAGGCCGTTTATAAACTGCCACCCGACCCTGCACTGCCACCGTCCGGCCGTTTATATACAAGGGCCGGACGGGAGGTGGTTAAGGTGGCTACGATAACTCACTGCACTGTGTCTATGAAGGGAGCTATGGTTGTAACTCTGCTCTCCTGATCTGAATGACTATCGCCTCCATTCCTCATCTCAATTACATAGGGCAGAGTAGTTTTGTAGCTTGGAAAACTCAAAAGATTGTTTGAGATCAGTCGAGTGCACGGGAATTTACAAGTACAGTGCAATTCTGAAATGGTAAACAGGTATATATTTGTACTTGCAGAAAATGTACTCAACCTGAAAAAAGGAAACCACATCTAAGAATAGGTAAGTTGCAATATATTATGTTTTGGGTTTAGATATCAATTAAAACAAGTTAGTAGTTTATCTCCCAAGGGTTAGCTATCTCCCTGTTGGATTTTAAAATATTATTTTACTTTAAGCTGGAACATTAGTCAGAAAATTAAGTCCAGCTAAATCACCTCAGGCTGGTCCCTTTTGCAGATATAGCTATGTAAAACATTAGAAATAAGTGCCTATACTGTTTCAAATCCAGTAATAGGCTGTCTCACCCTGCTCTGCACAGGCTCAGTTGTGGTCTATTCTTAGGCACTGTGCCCAGCCATTGACGGCCTAAAGATTTACTGCTGTTCAGGGGCTCTGGGTTTCAGCAAAATGGCAGCCTCCGACAAGCAAAAACAGGAACAATGCTGGAGGCAATTTATAGCACATACTAATTTTGGTAGCATCATTATTAACGTGGGATGTATATTCCTTGCTAAAGAGCATCAGAGTTGGTTTACTACTACTGTGCACTGCAACTGCAGTTGCTACAGAGCTTAGTAAATTAGGTAAAGCTTCCCTTTGCAATAAATACCCAATCACATGCAAGGAAAAATAAAAAAAACAGCATTTTTGCTTGCACGTGATTGAATGACAGAAAACAGCAGAGCTTCCCCTCATTTCAGAGTTTCATCTCCGATCTAGAGCAACTCATTATGGGTAAAGTTCCACTTTAAAGAGGAACTGAACTCTGGAAGCTGTGCCAAAAAGAACAGGCAAGGCAGACCAAAGGACTGGTCAGCAGTATTTTCTGTGACAGCAGCTGATCTTTTCCCCATTACTAAGGTACCATACCTGCACTGTCTCTCTATGTGTAGACGGCCATCTATGTAGAGACGGGACTTTGCTTCCTCACGCAAGGAGAACACTGAGCAGCACAGAGAAGAGTAGTGATGTCACCAAATCTCATTCCAAATCTGATGAGACTAGCAAGGCAACAGTGCCTTAGTTCCTACAATATGTGGATGTAGGCACAAGACTACTAGGGACCCTAACATACCAGGAGGTGCACTGATATTTTCCCGGAGGAACTCAAAACAAGAGGTAAGTATTGCTTAGGCACTGTTAGTGAATAGTGAATCTTCAATTCAAATCCACTTTAAGAAGAATGCTAACTCACCCAGTCCCCATCTAAAACTAAAATGTCATATTTGGGTGGACTTATCCTTTAAGTCCATGTATATTGTGTTCCAATTTTCAAGCAGCTTATTTAGTTAGTAATAGTCCGACTCTATTGAAAAGTGATATTCAATTGTGAATGGTTGCTGGCAGGGCAACAACATTTTGAATTCTTTAATATGGAATCAAGCAGTCACCAACACTTCCAAACCCTAATGCAGATACATGGCAACTACAGATAATTTGCGTTTTAAGAATGCTTGTTCAATTTTCTAATTATTAGCATGGTCAAACAGACATTCATTTTCGACCAAGGTGACAAGAAAATTTGGAGGAGCAGGATAAAAATGTTTTCTTGATTGAATGAATTTCTAACAGTGTATGTGGTTTTTATTTGGGAAATTACATTCATTCTAAAATCAAATGTTGAAAGTAAAAGAAATTACTTGCGAATGACAATCAATGAATGTGCACAGAACTATCATACAAATGTTCGCGCTAATGTCCATTTAAATATCTACTAGTGCATGGCCAGCTTTAAAGATCCACCTGCCAATGCTAATCCAAATGAAGAGATCACATTGTATGATCATACACTGTATACAGTATATAACTGGAAAATGGGAACATCTTTGTTCTGGCCTTGCTGAGGGGAACAGACTATTGTACAGAAAATCATCATTTTCAATTTCTCCAGGAAGCATAAGCCAGCCAGTGATCCAGTATATACCCAGAGCTGAAATCTTAGTTTAATTTATGTGAAGGAAAACTTGGGGAGGAACTCCGAGTTTACAGAAGGTGCAAGCATTGTGCCAGACCGGTTCCCATACATACTCTATAACATCTATTCCTTAATTTTTACATCTTCCCTGAGAGACAAGAGCTGGGATATTCCTGTCATCCGGAGAATATAATATGTGCAGTGTGCGGGCATGCAGAAAATAAGGATGATGTGCTGTATAATGGGGTTTCATGACGACAGGATGAGAGCAGAGAGAATACTGATGTCCTACTCATATGGATTGGATCCACAAACACAAGACTGCAGGAATAAATTATTTTTACACTTTAGTATTATTCAGTCTTCTATACTTTGGTATATCGCCTACACATCCAGGAGGCAGCCATATTGTGGGCTGAATAAATATTCATGAATTTTCTGTGTATTTATTGACCACACATGCATTCCTCATAAGGGATGCGTGCTAGCTTGATGGTTAGCATTGTGACCATACAGCACTAGAATGCTGGGTTCTGCTCCCACTGGAGTCAACATATGCATGGAGTCTGCATTCCTTGTGTATACTTCATCAAAATGTAGCAAATGGAATAACAGTGAACATTTCTTCCAAAAGGCTCCTAGTTGGACAAGTGAAAGAAAACTATATATGGGAACAAAAATCTGTGCCAACAGAGACCATCGAGGAAGATACCATCTTACCCTAGGTTCACACCTAAGTGTTCTCTCCAGCGTTTTGCAGAAACGCAGTACAGGCCATTTAACACGATTTCCTATTAGGCATGTTCACATCTACAAGTTTTCACCCGGTGCGTGTTTTTGGAAAGGGTCAGGGACTTTTTCGAATGAAAAAGTTGCGTTTTTGGTTCTATAGACTTCAATGGAAATGTTGCAGAAACACATGTAGTGCATTTTTGCTGCATTTTAAATCTGCCTAGCGACAATAAAAAAAAAAGAAACTAAAAAAGCAAAACGCATCAAAAACTTGGCAAAAACGCATCAAAAATGCAAAATGCAATGCAGAAACGGATTTAATGTAATCTGCATAGGTGTGAACCTATCCTCAGCTTTGGTTTGATCTGTAGTTGCTATGGTGCTGCATTTGTGATAAGTTAGGGCACTAGCCATTTCATAGCTTGACAGTTCATTTGAGAGCACAAGCAACTGTGACTGTTATCATTCATGGCATGCCTTGATAGTTGTTTTAAGGAAGCTGTTAAATTGATGGTGTTAGTTCCACTTTAACTCTCATATAGTGTACCTGCACAAAGCAAATCTAGCAATGTTAAAGGAAACAGCCCATAGCATGGCATGTTCAAGCAATAAAGTGCATCTAAGCCCAATTAGAAAGTGTAATTATGTGTTTGAAGCAGTTACAGTTGTGCTCAAAAGTTTGCATCCCCTTGAAGAATTGGTAACATCACAGTGGGGTTCATTTACTAAAGCTGGTTCACTCAGAATCCTGTGCACTTCAGCATGGAAACCTTACAGCTTACAGGTTTTATTGCTAAAGCTTAACCTCCCTAGCGGTCAGATTATGTCCATATTTCTGTGCTCAAAGCGGTACATTTTTTTGCATGGAAATATGTATTTTTTTTATTGTAGGCCTGTAATTTTTAGGAATAACTCACTAAAATCTGTCCTAACAAGAGTCTAGTAAACATCCCGGCTATGTTAAAATTTGAAACACGAAATCATAAATTATAATTTAGTAAATAATCATAAAAAATAATAACAACAATAAATTTAATTGAATAATATAATCAAACCAAAAACACTGAAATTTGAAATATAGCGCCAAGTTTGCACATCGCTGACCAAAGTCGCAGAATCGTTTTCAATGTCTGATGACGAATTTCTCCACGAATCATTATCACTCAATTCTGCAAGTGGTTCTAATTTACTATCGCTGGTCTAAAATCGATTTTGACCTAAAGGGATGCTTTTTGGACGCCATGGACATTTCTCAGTTTCCAGGCAGAAAGAACAGTAAAAATGCAGGCAGGGCGCCGGACAAAGCACTCGGGACAAAATGTATGTGAAATGCTTTGATACAGTAATGTTTTTACTATGTGATTTTAGCGAATTTAGTGAATGTCACTTTTTGTCATTTTCAAATTTCCCGCCGTTCTGTCCCCCATACGTCCCGACGTCGCAAGGGACGGAACCCAGAAGACAGATGCCGGCATCCGCCGGATTACATTGCCGGGGACACTGCAAGAGGGACATCGCAGGAGCGTAGGACAAGGTAAGAGAAGAACAGATCCCTATGCAGCGCCGCATGGTATTCCCGAGTGTAGCTCGGGGTTACTGCTTGTGGTACTGAAACTTTACCCCGAGCTACACTCGGGAATACCATCAGGGAGGTTAATATAACAAGCTGAGGTTAGAAGCTGATTTGCTACCAAGCACAGGTGTATGAGATTTTGAGTGAACCAGCTTTAGTAAATCTCCCTCACTATGTACCATTTTTTTTAGAAAACATGAGTGAGCGAGCAAATTACATTTCTTTTATTTCTCATGGAATTCATATTGAACTGCAGGACATAACAGAATGGTGCAATCATAAAACAAAACAAGTAAACAAATGAAATGACCCCTATTCAAAATACTTAATACTGTGTATTGCTCCGTTATCAATCACAGCGGGCAGTCTTTTGTAACAGTTGTCTATGAGGCCCCAAATTCTTGCAGGTGGTATAGCTGCTCATTCGTCTTGGCAAACTGCCTCCAGGTCCTGCAAAGTCTTTGGTCTTCTTGCATGAACTGCAGGTTTGAGATTTCCCCAGAGTGGCTCTATGACATTAACCACTTGCCCTCCAGAGGATTTACCCCCCTTCCTGACCAGGCCATTTTTTGCGTTATGGCGCTGCGTTAATTTAACTGATGATTGCGCAGTCATGCAATGCTGCACCCAAATGAAATTTATGTCCTTTTTTTCCCCATGAATTGAGCTTTCTTTCAGTGGTATTTGATCGCCTGTACGGCTTTTATTTTTTGCGCTATAGAAAAAAAAAAAAAAAGGACCAACAATTTTGAGGAAAAAAAAACAATATTTTGGATTTTTTGCTATTAAACATGTCCAATAAAAAAAATTTTAAAAATCAAATTTCGTCATAAATTTAGGCCAAAATGTATACTGTGACATGTCTTTGCTAAAAAAAAAATCCCAATGCGTGTAAATTAATTGGTTTACGTGAAAGTTATAGCATTTACAAATGGCGGTATACAGTGGGATCAAAAAGTATTTAGTCAGCCACCAATTGTGCAAGTTCTCCCACTTAAAAAGATGAGAGAGGCCTGTAATTGGCATCATAGATAGACCTCAACTGTGAGAGACAAAATGAGAAAAAAAATTGTAGACCTGCACCAGGCCGAGAAGACTGAATCTGCAATAGGCAAGCAGCTTGGTGTGAACAAATCAACTGTGGGAGCAATAATTAGAAAATGGAAGACATACAAGACCACTGATAATCTCCCTCGATCTGGGGCTCCACGCAAGATCTCACCCCGTGGGGTCAAAATGATCACAAGAACGGTGAGCAAAAATCCCAGGACCACACGGGGGGACCGAGTGAATGACCTGCAGAGAGCTGGGACCAACGTAACAAAGGCTACCATCAGTAACACATTACGCCGCCAGGGACTCAGATCCTGCAGTGCCAGACGTGTCCCCCTGCTTAAGCCAGTACATGTCCGGGCCCATCTGAAGTTTGCTAGAGAGCATTTGGATGATCCAGAAGAGGATTTGGAGAATGTCATATGGTTAGATGAAACCAAAATAGAACTGTTTGGTAGAAACACAACTCGTCGTGTTTGGAGGAGAGAGAATGCTGAGTTGCATCCAAAGAACACCATACCTACTGTGAAGCATGGGGCTGGCAACATCATGCTCTGGGGCTGTTTCTCTGTAAAGGGACCAGGACGACTGATCCATGTACAGGACAGAATGAATGGGGCCATGTATCGTGAGATTTTGAGTGCAAACCTCCTTTCATCAGCAAGGGCATTGAAGATGAAACGTGGCTGGGTCTTCCAACATGACAATGATCCCAAACATACCGCCCGGGCAACAAAGGAGTGGCTTTGTAAGAAGCATTTCCAGGTCCTGGAGTGGCCTAGCCAGTCTCCAGATCTCAACTCCATAGAAAACCTTTGGAGGGAGTTGAAAGTCCGTGTTGCCCAGCGACAGCCCCAAAACATCACTGCTCTAGAGGAGATCTGCATGGAGGATGGGCCAACATACCAGCAACAGTGTGTGCCAACCTTGTGAAGACTTACAGGAAACGTTTGACCTCTGTCATTGCCAACAAAGGATTAATAACAAAGTATTGAGATGAACTTTTGATATTGACCAAATACTTATTTTCCACCATAATTTGCAAATAAATTCTTTCCAAATCAGCCAATGTGATTGTCTGGATTTTTTTTCTTTTTGTCTCTCATAGTTGAGGTCTACCTATGATGCCAATTACAGGCCTCTCTCATCTTTTTAAGTGGGAGAACTTGCACAATTGGTGGCTTACTAAATACTTTTTTGCCCCACTGTATATACTGGGATTTTTTTTTTTACTAGTAATGGCAGCAATCAGCAACTTACAGCGGGACTGCGGCGGACATTCTGACACTGGGAGGAAGTGACTTGGTGTCACTGACATCCCCAGTGACACCAATACAGTGCTAAAAAAAAAAAAGAAGCACTGACACTGTACTAATGGCATTGGGCAGGAAGGGGTTAACATGACAGGTGATCAAAGCCTTAACTGTGTGCAGGGAGTGTTTTACTGGGGGGCGGTGTCTGTGTGCTTCACTGTAATCACACTGCTCTGGATGGCTGTGCAGTGTGCCCGAGCTAACAGGGAGGAGGACTGTTAGTAAACAAAACAGTCCTCTCCATTGGAGACGCTTGGTAATCACCGAGCGTCGGCGGGTAATCACCCGGTGATTGATAGCCACAACCGCGAATGGTTAGGGCTCGCGTGTGCCCCCCTACCTGGAAATGCAAAATCACATATATATATATACTGTATATATATATATATATATATATATATATACACAGGATTTTGCACACCCCTGCCGCCTTGTATCTGCTATAGGGCGGCGGGAAAGCGGTTAAGGTCCGGAAACTGTGATAGCCACACCAGAACCTTCACCTTTTTTCTGCTGTAACCACTGGAGGATCAATTTGGCCTTGTGCGTAGGGTCATTTCCATCCTGGAAGTTCACACAGCATCCCAGCTTTTGTGCATAAAAATGCAACTTTGTAAAGTTCCATTACCTTGTTACACAGGCTTTTTGACAGTTATTTCTGCTCCCCATGGCTCAGTATCTAGCCTGCTTAGTGCATCATCCATGCAAAATAACCTTTGCCATTAATTGCCATTTTAACCTGTATTGTGTCAGCCTGCATGTCTGTACCAAGGCCAAACATTCCAGGGTATGGTAACCTTTGATCAGGGCTATTTTGGGTGATTTCTGTTATCATTTTAATTTAAAAAGGAGCTCAACAACTATGTGATAATAAATGGCTTCTTATGATCACTATCCCTAAATAAAAGAGAGTTTGTTGGCACGGTCAGTCATATTTTCAAAAACAATGTCAACATTTCAAAATTTCTACCAGGGTATGCAAACTTTTGAGCACAACTGTACATTTATATTGTATCATCCTATGCCAATCTTAAAATCACTTTCCCAAAATCCAGGAAAGGCCCCCTCCACCCATTTATATTCACCTTGCCAGTACTCCCCATTAATTCCTTCATTCATGGTAGCCAGCAACACTACCCAGTACTTCTAGGTATGGAGAAGCACAAGGTGAATTACACAACAGGCAACTAATTTTTTACTCTTGTTTAACCCTTCACGCCTAAGGGTAAAACAAATCTAAATGCCTAAGCACAATTTTGCAACGTTGACATGTGTTAGTAAAACCTTCCATATCATCACAGCTACTTTGTACATCCAGGTGAATTATACCGTGTTTTTTTCAGGACAAATTGGGCTTTTATTTGGTGGTAAATTGTAATTGATATCTCCTGATTTTTTTTTTATTATCAAAGGAAAACTGGCCCAAAATAGTAAAAAACAAATCATTTTTTTATTTAGCTGTGTGTTTCTTGTTACTACCATAACCTACCTCCATAGAACAACCCAAAATAAATTTTCCAGCTCTTGACGATCGCAGCGATACCATATATGTGTATGTTATTTGTTGTTTGTACCCGTAGTACAGGCCAGAAACAATTGTGCGTACTTTGTTTTTGTCTTTTTTTTTTACCTAAAACACTGACATTGACACTAACTGACACTGATACCAATTTTTTTTAATCCTGACCTTTGACCCTGACCTTTTGACCTTTGACCCAAACAATAACCCTGGCACTGAACTAGAACAAACCTTGATCTAGGTATTTTTTTCTTTGTTTTTTTAATATTTATCTATTTTTTTTTTACAAATTTTTTTTTCTCTCTATGCCAGGAGTTCGAGAGATACAATATCTCTCTTTTCCATTCATAGAAAGATAAAAAAAACAAGGGGGCAGGGCTGCACAGTGACTGATCACTGTGACAGCCAATCAGAGGCTATCACAGCGATCATGTGACCCAGAATCGGGAGTCCCGATCCTTAGAACAGGACCCGTGGCTCTCAGTGACACCTCGGTCTTTCTGCTGGGAGCGCACAGTTTGGTGCGCTCCCAGCACAAAGACAGGTATGCAAATATGTGGCCCCTCGGAAAAAAGCCCAGTTCCATGAGGCCGCATACTTGTGTGACGTCGGCATCAAGGGGTTAAGCATGTGTTTCAGCATAGCTCCTAACTTTCCCTCATTTGAGAGCAAGGGGACGATTCACAAACCAGTATCTTCCTGCATCCAGGTATGCCGCACAGTGTTTTTCTAACAGTTTGTTGGCATTCACTAAAAAAACACTACTAAAATAACACACTTATTTTATGACGTCATGCAGTATTTTAGTAGTGAAAACATGCAGTAATGTGATGAGTCATCAGTTGTCAGCGGGTTACCCGCTGACAGCTGAACGTAAAAAAAAAAAAAAAAATAGAATTGCCATCAATTAAAAATTAAGAAACAAAATGCATGGTGTACCCCCAATCCATACCAGGCACTTTGGGTGGGGAACCCCCACGCCAATGTAAAAGAAAAAAAAAAAAAAAAAATGGTGTGGGGTCTCCCCCAAAATCCATATCAGACCCTTATCTAAGCATACAGCCGAGCAGGTCAGGAAAGGGGAGGGCCCTCTTGAACCATACCAAGCCACAGGCCCTCAACATGGGGGGTGCTTTTGGACAGGGGGAGGGACAAGGGCCCCTTCCCCACAACCCTGGCCGGTAGTTGTTGGGGGTCTACAGGT